AACCCTCACCTATGGTCATGAGCTCTGGGTAGTGACCGATAGAATGAGATCGCGGATACAAGCGGCGGAAATGAGTTTCCTCTGTGGGTGAGATAGGGTGAGGAGCTCGGACATCCGGAGGGAGCTCGGAGTAGAGCAGCTGCTCCTTCGTGTCGAAAGGGGTCAGTTGAGGTGGTTCAAGCATCTGACTAGGATGCATCGTGGGTGCCTCCAGGGTAGACCCAGAACACACTGGAGGAATTACATATCTCATCTGGCCTGGGAACGCATCTATCTATCTATCTTTTTGGGGGAGGACAGTCTTTTCACTCCTCTTTGAGTTTCAGTCTCAGACACCACTGACTGAACCTGAAAACAACTTGAAATGATGTGTCTTGCTGTTGCATTCAAGCATTAAAGATGGCACTGAATGCCCAAAGGCAAAATTAGAGTAACGGCTCAAACTAAGGTGACATATCGATTATCAGCTGGCCTGGATAAGAGATACCAGGAAGGGGAGAGTCTGATGGTATAAAGAGGAAGACAGAAACTCACAGAGGGAGAGAAACAAATAGAGATCAGATCTGTTCAGTTTTAAAGAAAGATGTGATGATGAAGTGAACATACGAGTCAGAGATGGTAGATGGTGGAGGGAATGCTGGAGTTCAACACCAGAGCTTTTTCTAATGATGACAGGGTGTAAACATCCCGCTCACAATACGTTCTTTTATCTACCCGCTGACTTACAGACAGTGGAATCTGTGGAAGTTTAAGTAACACGTATTGATTGATCTTCCTTTTTTGCACCAAGCGTTTTGTTAGAGTTAAAGTCTGACGAGGCCAAAGTTGGTCTTGTTATAAAATAATTGGATACTACACACAGTGGTGTTCACTGCTCACGAGGGTGAGAATCTAATTAAACTCAACAGCTCTCCAAATGTGAGACTATAAATCATAAAAGGGACTCTGCCTGAAGGTGTCAGAGGGACAGTTCACCAAGTTACCAAAGAAAAAAGCCCAAAACATAAAAAGAAATTTGTTTTCTGACTAGTGCTATCTACTCGAGAACATAGTTTAGGTTTTACTGAGGTTAAAAGAATATTTATCCCCCCACCACTGTTATATCAATTACTCATCTCGTCTTACACTGACGGATCCATTTTACTCCAGTTCATCAGGAATTTCTCCGTTTTTGGATTCGTCTTTTACAGTAGAGATCGTTGCTGTGGACACTTCTGCTGCCACCCCAAAACAATTTGGTTTGTAATACTAAAAGTAACAAAAACATGTCTTTCCAGAAACATTGTCTCAGTCACTGTGAGTTATCAGACCTTTTCAGCATTTTTCAGACTGTGAAGTCTATCGATTATTCTGAGTATCTGTCAATAGTAGCTACATTCAATCCTATAAGGCCCCGATCCCCCAGAAAGTATTTTAGCAGATGGAGGTGGCTTTTTGTAATTGTTTTTAATTAATAAAGCTTTTTGCTCACTGTGTTTGCGTTGTTACCCGCCTTGCGTTTCTGCACTTTAGGCACCTGGCGTTTTTCACGGAGTGCTCTGAACTCGTCAAGTTGAAAAAACTTCAACTCAAAGATGAAAAGTGCCCCACATTAGCCTCGCGGCTCTTCGCCATACGTGAAGAGCCTGGTTTCCATTCACTCTGAATTTTGTCTGGATTCTGGTTCTGGTCTAGAGAGCGGATCTGGAATTCACCAAATTCACCAAAGTAAAAGTGTTCACCAAAGTAAAACTTTAAATTCTGGCGCACCATTGATTTCCGTCTCTGGTTTCTCCACGTTGGAAAGTTGAATGGGAAAAGAAAGAAGAGTGAACACTGTCGCCACGATCGATACATTTTAATCATTTAAACATAGACGTACAACAGTCTGTTTTAGAAGAGGTTCTTTAAGAAACTTGGTTGATAGAGTATGCTACATGACGAGCATCACTCAATTTTCCTCTCTCTTCCGCCCCCGCCGCCCCAAACTTTATCGAAAAAATACATTTACAAACTACAGGTATAATGAACAAAACTAGGATCAAGTGCCTATTAAATAAAAGACAACTGAAATAGACAATAACTTGTAATATAATTAAATACAATAAAAGAAAAAGGTTAACTTAATGGCTTGGGGCTTTTCTTGTAAATTATATTCTTTAAATTAAAAAGTTTCACTGCATTTTTATTAGCTTGGTGCTTTTATTTTGACGGAAAGGCGCGTCCATCGAATTCCGGATCCTGTCTCTCTCGCCCTGGTTCCGGTTGCTTACCAAAACGGCCACTAAACAGCCCCAGAGTCATCCTAAAATATGCCTGGGACGAGGCTGTTTACTGGCACAGGGCAAGAAGTTAAAACATTAAAGCAGAATGAAATATTTCTTGAATCATATTTATTTTATACATTTAAATACCACAGAAACAAAATGATTGTGTTAGTAAGTTGTACTTTGAAGTTGTTTTTTTTTTTGTAGGACCTGATTGATTTCAATTCTCAAGAATGGGGGACTATCCCAAGTGTTGTCTGTTCCTGTTTTTCAAGGCTGCATTAGAATAGAACAGAATAGAATAGAATAGAACTGTATTCATCTTCGAAGGGAAATTCAACTGTCCAGCAGCTTATAAATGACAACTACCACACTTCCCCTCATCATCAACAACAACAACAACAACAACACATTGGTATTAAAATAGACATAAAATAGAATAAGCTAAAATAAGTGCATAAATAGAAATTAAAAATCAAATTAAAATTGCCCATTCCACCTTCCATTCCAGTTGTGGCTAATGTGATGTGTGTGAGTGTGTTACAGTAAAGTGATGCAGTTTTCAGAACTTAGCAGACTGTTCTATTATTTGCCTTTTCTCACTGTATCCACAAAACTGATGATTATTTATCAAAAAATGTGAAAATATTGAGTAAATATTTTGTGAACCATACAATATTGTTGCAATATTGATATTGAGGTATTTGGTAAAAAAATAAATAAATAAATAAAATGAAATAAAAAAAGTGGTATTTGATTTTCTCCATATCTCAAAGCCCTAGCTATTAACATTAATAAATGAAATAAAAGAAAAGAAAATTGAAAAACTGAGTCCTGCCGTTGGTGTTGACCATGCTCCACGTCTCTGACACCCTTATGGTGACCTGTGACCTCTGACCAGTCACATCCTAATTACTGATTGTTTGCCTCATTGCTCTGAAGCTAATTACAGTTACTCTGCTCTTTAATAACTCAGCAACATGAAGTTGTGAATTCTTGTCTGGGACGAGGCTGTTAGAAGTTAAAGTTAGAAGAAGTTAGAAAACCCACATTACGAATGATTATTAATCAAAAATCTCATCGTCTAAATATTTAGAAAGCACCAACAGACAACACATTATTGATGTTGAGATATTTGGTGACAAATATTGTGGTGTTTGATTTTCTCTATATGGCAAAGTCCTGTTAAAAAAATAATTGAAAATATCTGACACCTGCTTATGGTGACCTGTGACCTCTGACCATGCAGTCATTATTAGTTGCTGGCCTTATTGCTTTGAAGTTAATTACAGTTGCTCTGGTCTATAATAACAGCAACATGTTTGGTCAAATGAAAAGGACCAGTAGCTAAAGATCCACAAAGATCATCTGCAGTCAAGGTCAAACTTAGGCTTCTCCATTAAAGGGTCACAGTGAGGGCAGGCTCGTTACATCGATTCAAGTGAGGAAAGAAAAGGTCTTGTGTTCTCTGTGTTTCCCTGCAGCAGCGATAAGAAGACCGGGGCACAGAACAGCCCTCTGCGCGCCTTTGACCTACAGAATCTCTCCTTTCACTCGACAGAGCCGTGAATCATGTTGGACAAATGCAGAGTGACAATGACAGAAGAGAGAGATAGAGAGAGGGGTAGAGGGATGGACGGATGCTTCCTTCACTTCAGGGCTAAAGAGGAGGGACTCCACCGGAGCGGGTTAATGTCCGCTGTGAGTTCAGGCGGAGCGGCATAGCGCAATATCTCCGCTGCTCGCTCCGCTCAGGCTGCGCGCCGGCTCTCCAAAAATCTGCGGGGTCTCCTCACCTCCCCACGAACTCTCTCCACGAGGTTTCTCCACCTCCCCCCCGGCTCTCCCTCTCTCCCTCTCTGCGCGGTGTCTCTCCCCGCTGTCTCCAGGCGCGCACCGCCAGTCGCTCCTCGCCGCTCTTTGCGCACGGACACTTCTCCACATTCCCACTTGTATCCGCTTATCACTTCTCTACCCCGAGCGTCACCAGCGACCTCGGACTACTGTACTTTGTCTTTTAAGGTCCAGTAATTAGTTTCGCGTTGAGCCTCGGACTGAAGAACAATGTGATTGTGGCTCATGGGGATTTAGTGTCGTGACATGCTTTCAGGACCCGGCGTCTCCACAAGGAAATGGTGAGTTGAAATCCGCTTTATTCTCGCAGATTATCAGCCCACTGTGCGCAGTTTGCAGCTCGTTTGTCTCCAGTGCGAGCGGTTGACCTCTGTAGATAAGGTGCAGGAGGACGTGTGACCTTCCTCAAATGAAGAATAGCAATCTTAAGTCTTATATTACAGCTGTAATCTGAAGTTTGTGGTCCTCCCGTGTGAGTTTGAAGTCACCTTGGAGGCATGTGGATGGAATTATATCCACATGTTAGATATAAATTCATAAAACAAATGTGCTTTTAACTGCGAGTTTATTGTAAAAATATGTGGCCTTTTAAATAAGTATGGTATTGTTATAGAAACTTGTGGTGGCAGTGCAACTTGTGATGGTATTTGTATGTTCACTTGCGTCCCATAACGCACCAAAATGCGCGTTAACTGTCAGAGTAACATGCGTAAACGAAACATTTCAGCCTCTAGTTTTCACGGGCTGGCTCTTCTGACCTGCACGTGTTCCCCTATCGATCTGTTTAAATGTAAATTATAGGCTGCACAGTTTTCCATACATGTGGTTCCGGGGTGTGAGGCTGCACTAATCTATCGATAAGGAGAGCTTTGGATCCACAGAGTGGATCGACTGTCAGCTGTCACATGTTGTGTGCGCGGAGCAGGAGGCTGTAGAGCCGCTGGATCCTGTAAGTGAACAGTCACTGAAATGGGCAATAATGCTGCATTGTGGGAGTTATTGTGTTTCTGTGGTTTTATTTAACTGTGCTTGATTGTTAACGTGTTTCATTCTTATTTAAGTCATCTGTGCTCTTTATGTGTTTATGTGGTTTTTCTCTGCTCCTACTGTCATGTTGCTGTGAGGGATGCTGCAGTTATTTTGAGCTTAATTTTTCCAAATGAGGTTTTTATTTGAATTTCCATCTGCTCTTTGCGGCTCTTGAGTTTTATCCTAAGCTGGGATATCCACTGTTTGGGAGTCAAAAGAGACTCTGGTGACGCCTGCTTTCACAAATGACTTATGTCATGCAAATAAAACATATTGCAGATTGCTTTTAAAGTCTGTAAGCAGGGGTGTCATAGTTAGGGGACTGCACCCAGGGTCCTAAAGGGAGGGGCACCCTCAAAAAGCCTGAAATGAAAAGTTAGTTTTTTGTTTGGTTTGGTTTTCTAGGTAATTAGTAGCATAACTGAATTACAACTGACTGATTAAACCAGTTGCAAGACTGAACTTTATGTGAAAAAATAGTGAAAGCTCTCTGAGGTTCCTCTCACCCCTCTAAGACACAAATAATTCAGCCTGCCCCTGCACTAGGATTCACATCGTATCGCAGCTCAGTGAGTGACTGCTCATGCTGCTGGAGCACCAACATACACTCACATGTCTTCCCCCAAAAAAGGAGCTCAGGGATCCCAAAAAGAAAAGAAAGAAAGGTGCGTGATAGAGACATGGATCAATAGAGGAGGGGCGGGGGGCTCACAGAGACAGCTTTTGCACAGGGCCCTGAATTTGGTGCTACGCCCCGGGCTGTAAGGATTTTAGGACTTTTGCATGTTTATGTTTTTGAGGTAGGAATGCATATAATACTCAGTGGGTTTCTGGCTGCAACATTTTAGATTTGATAAGATAATTGTACAGTCTGTTGATGACGCTGTTGTCAGATTTCTTCCAAATCTGTCTTTCATCTCTTCCTTGATTGTACAATATCACAAACAGCTGCACTTTATTCCATTTCATTGCTTGATATTCAGTGTTTGACAAATTGCCAGTGGTAGAGCAACCCTAAAATGTACTCATGTGATTTGTAGCTAGAACATTTCAGTTGTACTTGGCTAATTTTACTCTGCAGTTACTCAGGGGCTTTGATAATTATGGTTACATAATATTTATGGAACAGACACACACAGGGAATCAGCGTGCCTCGATCAAAGGTGCAGGTACAGTGTGTAGTTGTATTGGCTGATACGATGATCGGAGGATCACAGCCGTATCATTTACAGTTCACCTTCTCTCCAGCTCGCCCACGACCAGTCACAGCCTGCAGATAAAGCACCATGTGAGATGGATTAGAGCGCAGCCAGAGTACTTGCAGTTTTTATAGTCAATGCAAATCACTCCAGGTGTAAATTATACATCAGCGTGGGCATCTGGACTCCAGAGATCGACTCTGAAACACTGGCTTAAATACACGGCCAAAATCTGTTTTTAAAGTTTGTTTTCCTGCAGACGTGCACGAACACATGCCCATGCACACACCCTTCATTTACACTGGAACATTGCACTTATAGTCAGGAGGGCACACACAAACAAGACGTCTTCTTTTAGAAGAGATAAATAAGAAATAGTTGCAAAGCAGCAGCAGCTTGTGAGTTTTTCTTGAATTGACTTGTGGATGTGAATTTCTCCTCCCACACTTTAACAAGGAGAAGCTCCTCTCCAGATGCGCCGAGTATGTTCGACTTTCATTTCTTTTCTGTAGAACTCGAGCTGTGCTGTTGCCTTTTTTTTGGACGCGCTTATTGTATTGTGAGTGTGTGTTCTTTGTATTTTGATTACTTTGAGTCGATGCATGGTTGTGTACGTGCATACATTTGTCTGGGTGTGTTTGCATGAAGACGGAGTCTGTGTTTGCACTGAGCTTTGAATAAGCCTTTAAGGAAAGTGGTTTCTAGTCCTGTGCAGACCACTCTGTTGCTGTGACACAAGCTGTAATCAAACCCACATTTTGTTTTCTTCAGTTGAAACGAGGCTTCTGTGGACTGATTAACAGATTGATTAGCTGATTGGCAGAAACAGTATTATAACTGAGCTCAAATGTCAGTGATGAAGTAAAATGCCAAATGTGATTGTTACCGCTTCATAAATTAGCTTGCTTGTCTTTGTTTTATGTTTGCAGTAAATTTTATTTCTTTGGCACCAGATCAGAGAGAAATCGTGAGATAAAATATTGTGTTCTGGCAACTCTTGGAAGAGAATGAATCATTAGTTCTGTCAGTTTCTGAAGTATGTTGTACTGGGAGGAAACCCCAGGGGAAGACCCAGAACCCCCAGGAGTGATCATATATCTTGTCAGGCGTGGGAACCCCTCAGGAAGTGCTGCAGAGAACAAGACACTTTACTTGAATACCCAGTGTGTTGGCTTTAGAGGGGTATATGGGCAGAAATGGAATATAATATAAGTAAGTTTTCATTATTGTATAAACACCTGAAATAAGAATTTTTGCGTTTTTGTTACCTTAGAATGAGTCGTTTATCTATCAGGGAGTGGGTCCTCGTCCACGGAGATTGCCATGTTGCACTGCCACGTTTCTATAGTAGCACAGAGTGGATAAACCAAACACTGGCTCTAGATAGGGCCATTGGTGTTTACACGTCGGCACCGTAGTTAGCAGCCTCTCCGCAAGGAGCGGCACCAAAAAAAACATTGATTGTCTTAATGTGAAACTGCTTAATTCAGGGTTTTCACGGGTTGAAATGACCGGGTCTGTTTGTTTTGGAGAGGAAGAGACCTCTGTGGATAATTCAGCTTCCGATAAAAACCTCCTGAACAATGAGCACTGAAGGAATTGTAACAAGGAGAAGTTTCAGCTGGTCGCAATCTGCAATCCTCACCACTAGATGGCACTAAACCCCCCCCTAAATCTTAAACACTGTTCCTTTAACTGCATGACAGAGATGTGCACAAGGGGAAGAAATTGATTGGACTGAGATGATGTTTTTTGAATTTAAACTTGATGGAAATAACCATCAGATTTATCTGTAGGAATCATGCTTGTCTGAATTTGGTTTTCATATTGACGAGATCAGGCCCACACTTTCACAAGTACAAGTGAACCAAAGCTTTTAAACAACACATAGATGGATTCATGGATGGATTGTACCAAACCATCATTTTCAGCCAGTCAGCTGCTCCAATTAATTTTTTCCCTTCACTTATAAGCTGCATTAAGTGTCTTTTGTCCACTAGAGGGCAGAATACAGACTTCAACATAGACTTATAGTAACAAACCTCAACTCTTCAAACTTGTCAAGATTTTATAACAAACACAGCTCACAGATTCACTCTCCACACTTTCTTGCTGAGCGATAGTGAACCACTGGGCTGTTTTCTCTCATGTGTGAGGAGCAGTGCTGCTAAAAGCTTTAAGCTGATGGACCAAAACAATAAGATGAAATTGGGGTGGAGCTTTAAAAAGCTGCGGAGTGGAGGGGGGTTGATTATGAGTAATGTGTGTCTCTTGAGAGCTTAAGTCTGAGTGCTGACTCACAGATTTTGGGATAATTTGTGCTTAACTCAACACTGAACTGAAGACAGTGATGAACAGTTTGTCTGTCCTCTTTGACATCTCGCTGCTACTGTGATTGGTGTGCAAACATAAGCTATACTTAGAGTTACTTAATGTGTTGGTACTGTATAGAACATTCAATACTCATGTCAAAGGAAATGATTGATTATTTTAGACTGGCACACAGGGTAGTCGAGGAGATGGAGTATCGAATATCACTAAATGTGTGCTGTGTTAAATGTTGGATGTTGTACTTGTGTGGTGTTCACTTATAACTTTGAGAACTCACAAGCTTTACAACTTCTGGTTGCAGGATGAGCACTTGTGCCATAGTGTGCTGGCAAAATAGAAATTCCACCCCAGTATTCTATAAATTATGCACATATGCAAATATTCTGAATTAATGATTTTGTATTTGGGCAAACATAATGCTGACCCACACTGTTCAGTGCCAGTGGAGCACGGATGGGATGTTCATGTCCTGCAGGGAAAAGTGACGATGTAAGCAGTTGGTGTATCTGCTTTTTGGCCTGTCTCACACTCAGTGTGTTCAAAGTTTTGTCACATACTGATGATGATCATGGTGATGATGATGATCCATTGCTGTCTGGTGCCGAACCAAAACTAAACCTTGACTGTACTTTGTATGCAATAGATGGATATTGTACAAATGTTTTCTTTGATTTGCCTTAACTAATCAATAGTTAGTGTCGTAATCATAATAATAATTTTTCATCTGCTTTCTGAGGTTGGGTCACGGGCACGGTAGGCTAAGCAAAGCACCCCAGACACTTCTCTCTCCAGCAACACTTTCTAGCTCCTCCAGGCCAGATGGGTTATGTAATCCCTCAAGCATGTTCTGGGTCTACCCCGGGTCCTCCTACCTGTAGGACGTGCCTGGAACACCTCTAAAGGAAGAATCGTCACCTTAACATGGTGGAGGGATTTGTGTGTTGTCTGGGGCAAACAAACCCTTGTAGAATCTCCAAAGGCAAGATGGTCCCAGGGAAGGGACCAGACCAAGAGTGATTCAAGAAGACCTTGATGACATGGCATATTTGGACTTTGAGCACCTCTACCAGTGTGGGGACATCAGGGTCCCTCCCTGAAGCCAGACACGGGGGGGGGGGGAGCTTGCCAGTGAGCATCTGGTTGCCCGTCCTTGGGCCATGGGACCAGGTCGGGCTCAGCCCCAATAAGTAACATGGAGCCATCACCCTGTGGGCCCACCATTTGCAGGGACAGGAATCAGAGTCTGGTGCATTGTGAACTGGGCGACGGGCAGGGGCCCCGGGCATGCTGATCCCTGGCATCGAGACTGAATCATCATTACATCATACCAAATATGCCAGCTTTAAAAGCTGTTTTTTCAGACAGGTTTTGAAGGTGGAATCAATTGTGT